TTGTTTCAGTAATTATTTCGTGACTAAGAGTTTGTTTTCTCTTTAGCTGTAAGAACTACAAATTAGATGCCATTCCTACTGCCAGTGTTTCAGGGGCAGGATGGCATGTTGGTTACAGGGACAGACACTGAAGCTAGAAACTCAGCCCTCCATTCTGCAAAGCATTGACCACAGACAAATTAAATAACATCTCTACGCTTGTGTTTTCACATCTATAAAAAACAAATCATAACAGCATGTCAACAGATTGTCACAAACACTAGCTGAATTAGAATAACCTGAGAAACACCAGCAGCTCTGAATGAACGACCACTGTGATCCTCGAAGGCTCCCAGCAGAATCCTGGGCAAATGAACCTGATCGGAGTGTCCATCTTGTAATGAGGTTACCTAATGCTCCCCAGGAGGATGTGAGGCCTATGCAAAAGAAAGTGTGCTGGTTGTGCTGTGACACAGTCCCTCAGGGTGGAATGAATAATTCTCTTCCTCCTGGTGGAGAGGGCAAGTGCTTCATCTCATATCCTCCCTCAAAATGTCTGGAGTAAATAAATGCTGAGCTTCTTCAAGATGGACTGACAAAGTTGGAGAAGCATGGGGTTTGGGTTTTAAAAAGTAATTTTATCTCTCTAAGCCTGAATTTATTAAAAGTAAAGTGGGAAAAGTTATCACTAGATTGCAAACGTGTTGTGATGGTTACATAAGATGTAATTCCCCACTGTTTTCTGGCACTTGATGATTTCCTGTGTGAGTCTGAGCCATGTAACTTATGGGTAACCTCTGTACAGTAAAAACAACAAGAAAAAGATAATGCACATGATTCAAGATCTGCAGGGAGGGAGGCTTAGGCTGGGTGCCCAGCTGTGCAGCCTCTGTGGTTTCCCCAACGGAGAAGGATGTGGGTGGGCACAGACCTAGAGATGGTTCTTGTGTAGGTTGTCTTGGTGGCTCTAATGTTGTGGACACCAGTCCAGCAGGCACAGTAGTACACGGCCTCATCTTCTTTCGCTAAGAAGTTTATTGTCAAGGTGGAAGTGGAAGTGCGATCTACTTTATCTGCCTGAAGTTTGACTTTATTCCCACCTAGGTTTTTTTTAACACTGTTTGTTGAGTCAACATGCAATAAATGTTCTATGCTCTGGTCTGGTTTCTGCCGGTACCAGTGAATGTAGTCTGTGTAAGGGTTTTCGGCAGACATCTTACAAGGTATGTGGGCACTCTTATCTTTTGCTCTGGAAACTGATATTGCAGGCTGCTTCAACGTTAACTGCCCAAAGCCAACTGCAAGAAAAATAAATGAATAAATAAATAAAGAAAGAAATAAATTCCCATGGACAAATGAAATGTAAAGAGCTAACAATAAAGAATCTCTTCAGCCTCTCTTATAGACTGAAGTGATTGGAAGCAACTCACAAGCCCAGAGGGAGGAGAAGATGACTGCTTCCACTAGCAGCATTCTGTACTCCGGGCTGGCTCCCCAAGGAGAAAGTCAGAAAGTGAGGTCCCTGTTAGCAAAAGGTCTCAGACCAGTGGCAGGAGGGCGTGGCTTGTTCTGGTTTCTCAGAAGTGGTGGCTCAGATAGGTCCCTGGGGTTCTTCATGATCTGCTGCAGATCTGAGCAGTTCAGGGGCTTCCTGTGTCCCATGAGGGCTAGGAATAGCAGGTAAGCAGATTTGTGATCTGGAAGGAAAATCCTGGGATGGATGCGTTTATCTGAGGGTGTGGCAGGGAGGACGATTCTCATACTCACTCACAGTTCCCCTGCAATTCCAGTCCGTAGAACATCGCTTCAGAAATATGAAGACATACCTTCTGTGTTCAGCCCCCATGTCTATCTTTCTGTGATTTGCTGTTGATTCAGGACTTGGATATGAAACCTGACCTTTATTTTTCTGTAGCACAACAGCACAAAAATCAGACACCGAAAGACCTCATCAACATTATTTAATATGCCATATGCACAAGCACTGGACAGTTTTTGTGCTTTTTTACACTAATTGAGATGTCACCACATGGATTATGAGGCAGAGCAATCAAATTTCACTTATTATCTGGATTCCTCCAAGAAGGGACTACACTGCAGTTGCTGCAGATAGAGGAGACAGCCGTCTGTGGGGATCGGCTTCTTCTCACTCTGGACCTCGGAACTGTCTTCTGAACATTAGTTCACATGCAGGAGCATTTTCAAAGCAATGTGGTATTTAATATGTAAAAATAAGCCTTAAAATTAGTACAGCATCTAATGTCCTTTATTTTTCAGACATGGTTCTAAATGTTGACTTATTTCATTTAATCCTCTCAACAGTCCTGTGAGGAAGCTGTGATGATAGCCTCCTTTTGGCAGTGAGGACAGTGGCAAAGAGAAGTGACTCATTCAAAGACACCGAGTTAGGAAATATGAGAACTCGGATAAGTAACAGTGTTCATTAAAGAAAACCTGAGTAAAATGAGGTATAAAGAATCCTTTTACTTTGATTTTCCTCTACATATNAATATTAAATAAGTATTTGATACTGTTGTTGTTGCCATCATAAACAGTACCATTTAAAAATTTTTAATTTTCAATTGTTAATTGCCTATAGAGTTACCCTTAAAGAGCAGTTTTAGACTGCACAGATCCCTGGACATGTGGATTTTTAAAAATAAATACAATTGGTCTATAGGTATTACATCTCTGAATTCAACCAACAGCTGATCAAAAATATGATTTTCAACACACAGTTGGGAATCTGCAGATGCAGAGGGCCCACCATATGCATTGTTTTATACCATTTTATATAAGTGACTTGAGCATCTGCAGGTTTTGATATTTGTGGGAGGGTTCTGGAACCAATCTCCCACGAATACCAAGTGTTCACTCTAGTTAAGATTTGGGGGAATCAAAAGTTATTCACGGATTTTTGACTGCATAGCAGGTTGGCATCCCTAACACCCATGCTGTTCAAGGGTCAATTGTATAGAGAATTACAATAATTTTGGATCTTTTGCTCTGTTTTACAGCTGTATAGGACTCCATTGTGCATGTGCCATAATACATTCAACCAATCTCCTAAGTTTGGATAGTTAAGTAATTTCCAATATTTTGCGGTTACACAATCACTAACTTTATGCACATGTATTTTCATATTGTTGAAAGTTGTGCCTTCAGGGTAAATTTCTAAATTTTTTTTCTAGATGAAAATGTAAATACATATGAAGTTTTGTTAGGTAGTTCCCTATTCCCATACAAAAAGGTTGTATTTTGCATTCTTACCAGCAATGTAAGAGTGCCTGTTTCCCCCAATAGCTTCAGCAACAGAGAGCATTGTCGAGCTATTAAATTCTTGCCAATCTCATGGGTGAGAAATAGTATCCCTATGTAGTATTAATTTGCATTTATCTTCTTATAAGTGAAGTTCAGCCTTTTTTATATCTCTCTTCATGAATTGGCTTTTTATGTCTTCCACTGTTTTGCTGTAGGATATTTTAAATGTTTTTTTCTGCATTTTAAAAATGTAGTTTTATATCAAGGATAGTGGGCCCTTATCTGCTGAACAGATTGCAAATGTTTTCTAATAATTCCCTATTTGTCCTTTGATTTTATTTATGTTGCTTTTTACCATATAAACCTTTTTATTTTCACGTAGTAAAATTTATCAATATTTTCTTTTATTGCATCTTGAAATTTAGTGATAGTCACAGATTCATTCCCTAACCCCATATTGCACATCAGAAGCTGGAAAATTTTTCTGTAGATGGTCAGATAACCAGTATTTCCAGCTTTGTAGGCCTAATGATCTCCATTATGATTGCTCTCCACTGTAGCTCAAAGGCAGTCATAGACAATTCGTAAATGAATAGGCATGGCTCTGTTCCAGGAAGGTCAGGGGCAGATGTTCTATTAGAAAATGTCCTGAAAGAAAAGGTTTCTTTTTTCATTTATTTCTATTATTCCAAAACATAAGAAAAGAATATGTTATTGTTTTTATTTTATATTTTGTTATTGTTTTTATGTTGTTTTATATTTTACTTTTATATTTTGT